AATATAAAACAATTCATGAATATTTGTTTAGATTTTGCAAAAGTAACGAATCTATTATGAAATCTATTTAAACAAACATTTTTATTCAATTATAAATTATATTATTTAATTAATTTTTTCACTTAATATTTCAATTTAATTAACATCATTTTATATCTCAAATCTTTATTTTTTAAATACAAATTCGTTTTGAAGCATTTTTAATTAATAAATAATTTTTAATCTTAATTTATATTTAACATTTTTAGCTATTTTTATTTGTAAATTACAATTCAGTTACTATTATTTGTATATTTAAAAATACCACATTTAATAAAAAAATTCTTATATAAATTTTGTATTTTTGTTAAATTTTTATTTGTATTATTTTAACTGAATTATATTATTTGGTCAACTGAAATTTGTGATTTTAAATAAATTATATTTTATATTATATTATTAGTTTTTATATTTATAATTAAGTAAATTCAATAATTAATAATATTAAATAAATTAATATATTGTTTTTAGATTTTAAATTTAATTTGAAATTATTTTGAATAATTAAAATAAATAGTAATCAACATTTTGTTGTAAAATTTTTATTGATTTCCGTTTATAATTAGAAAGAAAGTAATAAAAACAAAATGTTATCATTAGTTGATATATAAAATGTTTTTGTCTGTAATTATAATCATCTAATCGCTGCCGACTTCAATAAGTTATCGTTTCTATTGAATTGAAGCCAATTTTTGAAGACTTCCAATGAAACCATTTTTTCATTTTTAAAAACAAACTTTTTTATTGTTTTATTTCAAATCGTTTTCAAATAATTATTTATATAACAGTTAGTTATCATATATGAAAAATCTTTAGTATCATATCGGAGGTCAAGTTCTACACCAAAATAAAGGATATAATATTTTTTATTGTTTGTGTTTAAACTTGAAAATTAGTTTTCATGTTATGTCTAACTTTAACTTACAATTGATTTCTTGTATCTTCTTTAACGAAAGATACTAATTATTGCTTTTATTTTAGTATTGTTTTTAGTATTATTTATAAAGGATATAAACGGTATATATTTAATGTATAACCATATATAAATCATTTAAAATATATAATAGTAATGGGATAGTGATATTTGAAAATATAATTTATTAAATAACATTAACGTATTTGAAACAATAACAACAATAATAATACAAATAGCAAAAACAGTTATAACATTAGCTCAAACTTTTCAACAATAAATAAACAAAATGAAAAAAAGTAAAAAACAAACTTTTAATAGCACCTGATTTGCAATTTAATCGATGTATCAAATGATTAATAATTTAATTGTACAAGATTAAATGCCGTAAACTAATAATAATAATAATAATAATATTGTTAATACAAAGTTAAAAGTTTATATAAATGCTCATTTTTGTTATAAGTTACATATACTATATAAATATATAAGTATTGAATTATTGTATGGCATATAAAAGCATAATATATGTTGTTATTTAAGTTTGAAACTATCGATAAGTAAATGTTAGAAGAAATAGTAGTGAAAATTAATGCAAAATTGTGTGGACATTGAACTCAAAATATATTCATAAATTGTGTGCGAATCGGATGATACCTAAGTGTAAGGTATTTCATAAAACGCTTTGGGCTCTCATAACACTTGAATTGTTTTACCATTTATTATGCTTTTGAAAAACAAGTCTCTCTTTCCTTCCCTACCTTTCCCTACTCTCTCCTTATTAAATGCTCTCTATTTTAAAGACAAAATGCTATACAATGTTATATAACTGTTTGAACACATAATTAATTAATCAATTTTTTTATTTCATCAAAATTTTTAATAATATTAAGATTGCATTATATATTAAACTAATTAATTATACATAATTTTGTTTTTATTTTAAACTCAATTTATAAACAATTTATATATTAAGTTTTATAATATATTTTAAGTATTTTTTCGAGATGTCAATTGAGGATATTATCATTTAGAAATGAAATAAAAATTTAAAACCATTAAAACTTAATAAATGCTTTCAATGTATAAACATAGGTCTACATAATGTTTTAAAACACTCTTCCCTGAGTCTAAGCCCCACCGCCCGACCCCATGCGACCCCTTGCGACCCCATCCCACCCCCATTAGAATGGCTTCAAAAAGGATTTATAGAATTTCCTATTTTAAAATAATAAAATAAAAATCTTCTTTTCCGTGATTCAAATATACATTTATATGATATTAATGTAATATTGTATATAATTTTTTTTTATTGAAGGATTCAAATGAAAACAATTTATTTGAGTAAATGATCGAAAAATTATTCAATCAATGTATTCAAAACATTTGGAGTATTTAATTATTAAAATGTAATGCATTGAAAGGTACCGTAAAATATCATAAACTGTTTTTTAGAAAAAACATTTCTGTTATGTTTTTCTGTTACTTTGAAATCAAATCTCAACTTATGTTACAATCATTATCTGTTAATAAAAAACTATCTAATGTTATATAGAAATTACACTAAGATATCATTTAAATAACGACATAAAATGTCAATATATATAATAATCAAATCTTATGTAAATCATTAAATTCAATGCTAATTATTAGTTATACTGTTTATCTAATACTAATGTTTAACATTAATTTTAAACGCATTTCAATTGACATACAGTAATGAAAATTTACTAATAATTTCCTGTATTTTTGTGTAAATTATTTGAAATTTTATCATCAAAATAGATGCAAAATTCAAACATATCTAAAGTGAACATATAATTCATTTATCATTTTAATAACATTTATTCTATACTATTATATTATATATATTACAAATTTTTCAGTTAATTGTCATAATATTTATATTATATAATCTTTTGTTGGCTTTATATATGTTATGATTACAACACATAATTCACATGTGATATACTGTATGCCTCTCATTGCCGGACATTTGGGTCAATAAGAGCGAGACATAAATATTTTTATAAAAGTAAGTTTCTATCAAAGAGTCGACAATTTTGTTATAATTGATACAAATATAGCACCAAATGGTTTGATTGACCCGACAATCATGTAATTGTATTGTTGAGTTGACATTAACACGTGACCAGATAGACACGTTCCGGGGATACCAACTAAAAGTCATATCAATCGACAATTCAAAATCAAATAATAATGTCTTTAAAAAAGTTTATATACATCACACAGTAGTTGCTTTTCATTCGTTATAATAATAATAATTATTATTATTATTATTATTATTTAATTGTTTAAGACATCACTTCTTCACTAAAATCATTCTAAGCGAAGACATTGTAGAATTGATTTACAAAAAGTTTTTGAATGAGATTCAAATAATAACACAAAACTTAGAAACATTTGATAAAAAGTAAGAATAAAGATTTGAATGCAAAGGACATCAAATTCGTGACCAGTGGTCATCTATCGGCCAAGAGTTGGACCACTTAACCATTGATAAGATGATTAAAAAAAGTTTCTTTTGATTTACTTTTGTTTTGATAGAATAAATGTCTACAGTTTTGTGATATTTATCGAAAAATTAAATAAATTTTATAAAACTATTGAATGTCTTAATCAAAAGATTTATATCAATTGATTTTGATCTGAAAATTTGAAACCATTTGACTATATTATAAATAATTAATAGTTTTTGAATTGAATTAATAAAAACAAATACTCTTATCATATATAATATTAAGACTTTACTTATCAATGTTTGTCAATATGACAACACAAACACAGTCAGTATTTTTACACATAATGTCTTATTAATAATAATTTAATTAATAGATTACATTATCAGACATTTTATTTTAAGCTACAATACTATAAACTTGTCTTAACTTACTATAAATAATAATAATAAAAATCATTGATGATTGTTTGATTGAAAATTTGTTTAAAAATTAAATAAATTGCTACATAAATTTTCATAAAATAGATAAATTTATTTGGAAAATATTAAATCATTTTAAAAAAATAATAGATATTAATATTATATTGTAAATATAAAATTTATTTTTTATATCAATTAATTTTATAAATTAAAAAAATATCTTTAAAAACAATTTCCTTTAAATTTAGAGTTTATATTAGTTACAGTTATTTTTATTTTAATAAAATGTTTAAATAATTAATATATTTACTACTTTTACAAAATTATTACATGGTTTACAAACATAATAAATACAAAAATTATTATGTGAATCTCTTTTTCTGATTTAATAAAAAATTTAAATAGAGTATAATTTTTATTAATAATTAAAATTATTTTATCGCAAATTTTATAAACCAATTATGAAATATTAGTATTTTCCTTAAAAATGGATAATAAAAAATATATAAAAAAGATAATTTGACGCAAAACTATTGTATCAAAAAAAGTCATTACGGGATAATAGTTGTGTCAAAATGATGTATATATTGTAGATATAATGTACTAATAGTTTGTTCCGCGAAAATGTTGTCATTATTTAACTCCACATCAAATCCTTTGCAGATCATGACTTACCGGTAGATTTGATGAGTTAATGAAAAGTGAATACTTTGTATTACAGTAAAGTTATTTATGAACACACCTCTCCTTTTTTCTATTGGCTACCTGTGCTTACCTTGGATAGTTGGATAGCTATGTATTATATATTACCTGTATAACTTAGCTGTCGGTCACTTACAGTTTATATCTAACATTGTGCACATCTTTTTTAAATAGTTGTGTTGAAATAAAAACTTTTTTAATCAGTTTATTAATTGTCTTATTAATTAAGTATAATAACAATTAATAATAATAATAATAACAATAATAACTTAACCTTGCTTAATCTATCTTCAAAAAACAACCAAAAATTGTCATTGAACTTGGTCATATCAAAGAAATTATTATTATTATAGTTTTGATTAAGTTTAAATAAAAGTTTTGTTTAAAAAACGATTCATATAATTAGAAATTTGATACAACAATGTTCTAATAAGTTATAGGATTAAGTGTTGTATAATCGGGTCCAACGATGGACCTGAAGATGTTTTGTGGTCACCGGATGTGTGCCATATTAGTCGCAACCTTTGTCTTTCTGGTCATTTTACTTTCACCAGTATTTTCAGGTATTGTATTCATTACCGGTTATAATACCAATGATATTAATAATTCATGAAATGACTTATAGCACCGTTTCATTCATACGGAAGATACAGATCTCCGCGAGAAAAAGGTATGAAAAATAAGTTTTTTTAATAAATTCTTTAATATATTTAATTTTTAAATAAATTTTTTAAAATTACTTTTAAAGGCTGCTATTATTTACTAAAACATTATAAGAATGGCCAACAAATTGAAACAAATGAGCCCTGTTTGAACTGCACCTGTAGTAATAGTATGCTTATGTGCTATCTAAGGGTCTGTCCCTTTATCCGACCTCTTGGAGAGCGATGTATTATTGAGAAAGTCAAGGGAGAGTGTTGTCCAGCCATAACATGTCCGGACGGTATGTATTCAATAGTTTTTTTTCTCTAACATTTATCGTCACATAATAAAGTTTGACAAACTTTTTTAGTTAAGTAAACCGGTATAATGGGGACTAAATTTTTTATAGAAATTTATTTATTTTATTAGTTATTTATTTTAAAAATTACTTTATCAGTAATTAAAAAAATATATTTATTTATAACATACGCAACCCGGGTATAGAAAGTGGGAGGGGGTCTGTCAATTAAGTTTGATATTTAAATTTATAAAAATCATTCAAATAACTTGTTTACTAATAAGACTCAGTGCTTCCATCTATGTGTTATTGACCGCCAACTGTAAAGTTTTTTAACTGTAAAAAACAAAGTTTAAAATTGTATGAATCATAACTTTTTAGTTGTTTTCGCAATTTTAATAAAATTTACACTAAGTTTTTGCTTACTTTTATTGTTGAAAACACTTATCAATCACTAAACTAGTGATAATGTGAACGATAGGCCATCGTTTCGCTGATCAGTTTGGTCACCATATATGCACTGGTATTTTTTAGCCACCAGTGCTGTAAGCGATACGGGAGGTCGGCAGGGGTTGAGTGTTGTCACTCAGGGTGACACTCAACCCCTGCCGACCTTCCGTATCGCTTACAGCACTGGTAGTCAGTGGTATCAGCGAAACGATGGCCTATCGTTCACATTATCACTAGTTTAGTGAATGATAAGTGTTTTCAACCATAAAAGTAAGCAAAAACTTACTGTAAATTTTATTAAAGTGTAAAATAATATTAATTTCTATTAAAACTAAAATATTAACTTTTAGTATAAATTTTATATTACATTTTTCATTTAAATCATTGTAATAAATGATTTTAATTTCTATATATAGTTAATACGTTTAAAATGTATAAATACTATGATTCATGGGATTTTCAATAAATATTAAACAATAAATTATAAATATAGATATTAAGGATAATTGAGATAACTATACATACATTGATACAACTTCTAGGTTTAAGTGCAGTCTTTCAATTGATGCACAGATCTCCGTATATTTGATTACTCGATATTTCTTAATAAACAATTAATAATTAATTTTATAAATATTTATAAGTGTTGTTAGAAATACATGAAATTGTTATCAAAACTTTCAATTTGTGCTAAAGTCTCCAAATGTATTGATTTATACAGTAATTTAGTTGCATTATAACTACTGTAGTGTTGGCAAAAAAGAGATTTTATAAAATAATAGAGATATTTCTAGAAAGTTTCTAAAAGAAATTTCTATGAGATCCCCAAGTTAATTCTGTTATTTCAATATTTGTTATCTTGTAACATTGTTATTACAAGTAATAATTAAATATTATTATTAGTATTTTAATTATTAATTAAAGTAAAAATAAATTTATTTAATTATATTTAACTATAATATAATAAAATGATGAATAAAATTTTATAAAACTGATTATTATTGGATAATTATACTTATTTATATAGGTATCCCATTTGTATAATATTATATATACAATATTATGTCTCATTAATATATTTATAGTATTTCCAATAACTATAGATATACGGATCACATAGTTAACAATAAAGTTAAATTTCTATAGAAATTTTCTAGAAACTTTCTATTTGCTCATCTCTAATTATAACTCACAATAGTAGTAATAAATATTTATATTGATTATATATTAATAGTAATATATTTTTTATTTAGATTAACTTAATAAGCCAGGTCAATTAATTTAGTCAATTAAAATTTTTCTTTAAGTGAAACTTTGGATGAAATATTGATTTGGATTTCGGATAAAATATTTTTTGACATTTTTTGTCTAAGCCTTTGAATTTTAAATTTTAAATAAACAGAACTCTGATTTAAAAAATACATTATATAAATCACATTATAGTTCCCGATCCCGAACCTGAACCCGACTTTCAAACGACTACAACAACAATGGAACCAATGGAGTCCGGACCAGGTTTGGCATATATATTGATAGTATAATACATTATAAAACACAACATATTTTTAATATCTATTTAGGCTGTTATTTGGACGGACAGTATTATAAAGAAGGGGCACAAATACCACAAGAATATGGAAAGCCGTGTGAAATATGTTATTGTTTACGAAATACCAGTGCGTGTGTCGTCCAAGAGTGCGCTCTTCAGGGTGTCAGTGGTTGTACTCCTATTTTTAAGACCAACTCTTGCTGTCCAACGAGATATAATTGCTGTAATATTTATATAATTTATATAAATATTTTTAAATATAAATTTATTACTGCTTTGACTAAAAAATAACAATTTAATGACTATAGCGAGCAAAGCGGCCACAACTGTGCCAACTGTGTCATCCATAAGGGGAGGTATTTCACGTGCAAGAGGTTGTGATTTAAATGGCATTCACTATAGCGATGGAGAAGCCGTTCCTTCAAAGAATTCTTGCGAACACTGCTATTGTATGAGAGATGAAGTGGTTTGTGCCGTACAAGAGTGCAAACCTCCCTGTGATGGATGTGTTCCCATTCCCAGCGATAACGATAGCTGTTGTCCGGAACGATATGAATGTCGTAAGTTTAATATGAATCACATTTTTCTTACAAATCAATCAAATATTTGCATTAAATAGTTGTCACAACAAGAACTGTGTCCTTCACTAACACTTCATTATCAACCACTCCGTCGACTCTTACCACTCGCACAGCCACTGCTACGAGACAACCTTCTGCTAAAAAAGACGACTTTTCAGACACATTCGATACGGAGACGTCCACCAAAGCATCGGGAATTCCCGGAGAAGTTAAATCAACTACAAAATATCCTGTCAAAGGTATTGTTCCCGGAGAGAGTCAGATTAGTGGTCAGGAAAGGACCACAAAAAGGACAACAAAGAGACCCGTTATGACTCCTGGAATGATACCCGGAGAGGGTATGCAAACAATTATGTCAATTAAAATATTCTAATAGTTATTATATTGAAATCAATAGGTATTTGTCGACAAGAGGGCCGAATCTATCAAAATGGTGATCGGGTTATATCCCGTGACCCGTGTATGGACTACTGTATGTGTATTAATAGTGTTGTCTATTGCGATGAAATAATGTGCGAACAAAATGAATTGACTTTGAATGACAAATGCAAGAAAATTACAGATGAAAAGCAATGCTGTCCTAAATATAAATGCGGTATTCATTCAATCATTTAATACAAATTCATTTATTTTTATTAATTTTGTTATTTTTTAAAATACCGTAGAAAACGGTACTACAATTGCAACGACAATAACCGCTACAAGAACTACAATAATGATGGACACGACAAGCAAACAACAAACAGATATATCGACATCAACTCAATCAATGACAACTGTTTCGGGTATTACAGAGAAAACTATAAGTGATATTCAATCAACAACTCAATCAAAAGAAACAGTTAAGACATCAGAGGCCACAATAGGTAAAGAAATGACTACTGTTTCCATACAACAGATAACAACTGAATCAACTAAAGACATGGAATCAACAACTATTGCATTCAATATTACAGATACAACAATTAAATCTACAGAAGTAATGAAATCAACTACTGTTTCAGATATAAAACATCCAACAACTGATGAGAGGTTGTTTACAACAGTTTCACCAATAATTTCAGATATAAGTCAACCGATTACTGAAATAACTGACAAAATAAAAACAACAACTGTTCCGACAATTGTTTCAGATATTCAACATCCAACCATTGTTACAACTGATGAGACATTGTCGACAACAGTTTCATCAATTGTTTCGGATATAAAAACAACAAGTAAACAAATTGATGACATCAAGACAACGAAGAGTGATATAGAAATAACCACTTCTTCAGAACCACCAGTTATTGATAAAACAGATAAAACTATATCAGAGACAACACCAGATAAAAATGTGACAATTACTTCAACAAAACAGACAACAATAATAGCAGAAGATATGGAGTCGACATCTGTTCCGCCCGTTGTTACAGATATAAGACATTCGACGGTTAAAACAACTGATGACATAATGACAACAACAAGTGATATACAGACAACTACTCCATCAAAACCATCAGATTTTGAACAAACAACTAAAAGAACATCAGATTCTACAACAGATAAAGAAGTTACAACTGTTTCGATAGAAAAGACAAAAACTGATACAACTGTTACTCCAATTGTTTCAGATAAAAGATTTTCGACAACAAAGACAAGTGATATTGAATCAACCACTCCGTCAACCGATTTTGAAAAAACAATTAAAACAACATCAGAGACATTGACAACAACTAAATCAAGAATAGATATGGAATCAACAACTGTTACACCTATTGTTGAAGATATAATACATCCAATTACTGATATAACTGATAATATGAAGACCACAATAAATGATATACAATCAACAACTTCATCAAAACCATCAGATTTTGAACAAACTATTAAAACAACATTAGATTCATCAACAGATAAGAAGGTAACAACTATATCAATACAACAGACAACAACTGAATCAACTAAAGACATGGAGTCAACAACTATTGCACTCAATATTACAGATACAACAATTAAATCTACAGGAGATATGAAATCAACTACTGTTTCAGATTTAAAACATCCAACAACTGATGAGACGTTGTTCACAACAATTACATCAATTGTTTCAGATATAAGTCAACCGATTACTGAAAATACTGACGAAATGAAAACAACATTTGTTCCGACAATTGTTACAGATTTAGGACATCAGACAACTGAAACAACAACAGAAGAAATACCTATTGTTAGACGTTTATCCACATCTCAGCCAAAAATTAATGACACAACTATTTCGACACTAATACCAGATATGACTTACTCGACAACACAGTCATCCATTACAATCAAAAGTGTCGATTTTGATAAATCTGTAGAAATGACCACTTCATCAACTGATGACATATCCGCTATAAGAGAGACATCAAGTAATGATATGACCACACAAAAGTCGATTACAGATAAAGAGACGACAATTGTTTCAATACATCAGACAACAGATAGATCAACTAAAGATATATTGTCGACAACAGTTCCATCAATTACTTCAGACAAAAAACATTTAACAACTGAGGCAACTGATGAAATAAAGACAACAGAAAGTCATATAGAAAAAACCACTCAATCAAAACCAACTGATTTGGATCAAACAGTTAAAACAATATCAGAGATGATAACAGATAAAGATGTGACAACTATTTCAATAAAACAGTCGACAACTGTTCCGTCTGTTGTTTCAGAAATAAGTCATTCGACGGTTGAAACAACTGATAAAACATTGTCGACAACAGTTTCACCAATTGTTTCGGATATAAGAACTACGAGTGAAGAAACTGATGATATAAAGATAACGAAGAGTGMTATAGAAATAACCACTTCTCCAGAACCACCAGTTATTGATAAAACAGATAAAACTATATCAGAGACAACAGCAGATAAAGATGTGACAATTACTTCAACAAAACAGACAACAATAATAGCAGAAGATATGGAGTCGACATCTGTTCCGCCCGTTGTTACAGATATAAGACATTCGACGGTTAAAACAACTGATGACATAATGACAACAACAAGTGATATACAAACAACTACTCCATCAAAACCATCAGATTTTGTACAAACAGATAAAGATGTGACAACTGTTTCGATAGAAAAGATAAAAACTGAGACAACTATTACTCCTATTGTAACAGATATAAGACATTCGACGGTTAAGACAACTGATGAAATAATGACAACAACAAGTGATAAAGAAACTATCACTTCATCAAAACCACCAGATTTTGTACAAACGGATAAAGATGTGACAACTGTTTCGATAGAAATGATAAAAACTGAGACAACTATTACTCCTATTGTAAAGACAAGTGATATTGAATCAACCACTCCGTCAACTGATTTTGAAAAAACAATTAAAACAACAGTAGATAAGTCGACGACAACCGATATTTCAGATATAGAAAAGTCGACGACTGAAGTCACTAATTATACAAAATCATTAACTTCATCGAAACCATCAGTTGAAACAACATCAATGTCTACAACAGATAAAGAGATGACAACTGTCTCACAAATTGTTTTAGATATTAAACATCCGACAACTGAAACAATTGGTGATATGAATTCATCGACAATTGATATACAATCAACCACTCCATCCGATTTTGAAGAAAAAGTTAAAACAACACCAGAAGTATTGACGACTACTGAGGCAACAGAATCAGTCACTAAACTAATAACTGATTTTATTTCAACGACAATATCTGCTATTAAATCAAGTGTTAGTATAGAATCAACCGACACATCCAAATCTGATGTCACGACAACATTACAAAGTATAACCAAAGTTTCAGATATTATGGATTCGACAACAAGTGAACCAACGTTTACAGGAATGTCAGTCTCTAATGTCTCTGAAGATGTCAAACCTATTACAACAGCTGTTCCAATGAAAGTAACGACAGAAGCAATTTATATCACTAAAGAGCCACAATTGAAGACAACAATTGCAATACAAGACACTACTCTACAAGATGTTACAACTATTGAAACAATGACAACACGTGGAGACAAATTAAAATCAGATTCACATATAACTACAGAAATTTCAAAAGATGATGATATGACTACAATTGAACCACAAATACGACAAACAACACCTAAATCTCGAGAGTCGACAACAATTTCTACAATTGATTTAGATATAAGACATCCAACAACTAAAATACCCGAAGAAAAGAAAATGACAGCTATTTCTACTAAAGATTCCGATATAAGAGAATCAACGACTGATACAACTGATGATATACGTCAGTCAACATCCAGTGATGTACAAACAACTACTCCATCAAAATCAAGTATTTTTGAACAAACAATTAAAACAATAGATATGACAACAGATAAAGAAATAATAACTGATTCAGATATAAAACACATGACAACTATTTCATTAGAAAAAACAACTAAATCTACAGTAGATATGGAATCTACAACTGTTTTACCGATTTTCTCACATATAAGACATCAGACATCTGAAAAAACTGATGATATCAAGACAACAATAAGTGATATACAAATAACCAATCCATCAATTCAGACAACTTCAGAGTCAACAACTGATAAAAAATTTGTTACTCAAGATATAATACATACAACAACTGAATCACCAATGGATAGAAATGTAACAAATGTTTCAATAGAAGAGACAACTAAATCAACAATAGATTTGAAACTGTCAACTGTTCCGCCAACTGTTTCAGACATTAAACAACAGACAACTGAATCTATTTATGATATCAAGACAACACTTATTGATTTACAATCGACTACTTCACCTAAAGTGAAACCAATTTCTAAGTCGACAACTGATAAAGATTTTACAACTGTTTCGATACAACAGACAACTCTTAAACCAACAAAAGATATGGAATCGACAACAGATTTACCAATTATTTCAGACAAAAAGCAAACGACAACTGAAGAAATCGATGAGATGAAGACAAGTGATTTACAATCAACTACTCCATCAATGTTTACAATTAAGACATCAGAATTGACAACTGTCTCGAAAGAACAGACAACGAAATTATCAAAAGATAAGGAGTCGACAACAATTCAGCCAATGGTTACTGATATAAGTCATCAAACAATTGAAACAACTGATGACATAAAAACAACAATAAGTGATATTCAATCAACAACTTCATCAAAAATATTAGACTTTGAAAAAACAGTTAAGACATCAGAAACCACAACAAATAAAAAGATGTCAACAGTTTCAATGATAGAGTCAACAACTGTTTCACCCGTTATTTCAGATATAAGTCATGAAACAACAAAATCAACTGATGGCATAATTACAACTACAAGTGATGTACAAATAACAACTCCATCAAAACCATCAGATTTTGTACAAACAGTTAAGACAATATCTGAGACGACAACAGACAAAGAGATAACAACTTTATCGATACAACAGACAACTGAATCAACAACTCAACAACACATGGAGTCGACAACAATTTTGCCAAAAATTACAGATATAAGTCATCTTACAACTGAATCTACAGATGAAATAAAGACAATAACAAGTGATATACAATCAACCACTCCATCAAAACCATCAGATTTTGAACAAACAGATAAAGATGTGACAACTGTTTCGATAGAAAAGATAAAAACTGAGACAACTATTACTCCTATTGTTACAGATATAAGACATTCGACGGTTAAAACAACTGATGAAATAATGACAACAACAAGTGATATAGAAATCACTTCATCAAAACCATCTGGTTTTGACCAAACAATTAAATCAATAGTAGATAAAGAAATGACAACTGTTTCGATAGAAGAAATAACTAAATCAGATGTGGAGTCGACAACTGAAACACCAAAAGTTATACCTATTGTCAGACGTTTATCAACAGCTCTACCAAAAATTAATGACACAATTGTTTCCACAATAATACCAGATATGACTTATTCGACAACACAGTCATCCATTACAATCAAAAGTGTCGATTTTGATAAATCTGCAGAAATGACTACTTCATCGACAGATGACTTATCAACAATAAGAGAGACATCACGTGATGATGTGACCACAGAATCAGTTACTAAACTAATATCTGATTTTATTTCAACGACAATATCTACTCTTAAATCAACTGTTAGTATAGAAACAACCGACACATCCAAAGCTGATATCAGTGATTCAACAACAATTGGCTCCACTTTTACGGTCGCCAATGTTTCAGACGACTTTAAACCCATTACAACAACTGTTCCAATAAAAGAAATGACAGAAACAATACTCACGAAAAAAGAGCCACAAATGGACACAACAATTGCAATACAAGAGGTTACAACTGTCGAAACAATGACAACAAGTGGCGACAAATTAAAATCAGATTCACATATAACTACAGAAATTTCAAAAGATGATGATATGACTACAATTGAACCACAAATACGACAAACAACATCTAAATCTATAGAGTTGATAACTCTTCATCCAATTGATCCAAACAAATCAAGATTGACAACTGAAACTATTGATGATTTAAAAACGACAGTTAATATACATTCTACCACTTCATCAAAACTTTTTGATTTTGAAAAAACAGTTAAGACATCAGAGACTACAACGACACCACCAACAGATCAAGAGACAACTGTTTCTATACAACAGACAACATCTAAATTACCAAAAGATATGGAATCGACAACTCTTTCATCGATTATTTCTGACAAAAAACAATCACCAACTGAAACAATTGATGATATGAAGACAAGTGATATACAATCAACTACTTCATCAATTGACATAACATTAGAGTCATTGTCGACAACTATTCCATCCATTATTTCAGACACAAAACATTTAACAAATGAATCAACTGATGAAATAATGACAACAATTTATATACAATCAACGACTCCATCAATATTTTCAACTAAACCAACCTCTGAGTTGATAATTGATAAAGATTTGAAAACTACTGAAGATATAATACATATAACAACTGAATCATCAATGGATAGAAATGCAACAATTGTTTCGATAGAAGAAAGTACTAAATCAACAACAGATATAAAGTTGTCAACTGTTTCGCCAATAATTTTAGATATAAAACATACAACAAATCAAACAAATGATGATCTGTTTTCAACAACAGTTTCACCGTTTGTATCAGACATAAGAGACCCGACCACTAAAACAACTGTTACACCTATTGTTACAGATATCAGTCATTTAATGAATGAAACAACTGTTGATATGATGACAACAACAAGTGATATTCAAACTACAGTTAAGACAATATCAGAGATAACAGCTAAAGATATGACAACTGTTTCACCCATTGTTTCAGATATAAGTTATGAGACAACAAAATCAACTGATGATATAATAACAATAACAAGTGATGTACAAACAACTACTCCATCAAAACCACCAGATTTTGTACAAACAGATAAAGAGATAACAACTTTATCGATACAACAGACAACAACTGAATCTACTAAAGACTTAGAGTCGACAACTATTGCACTCAATATTACAGATAAAAGTCAGCCGACAATAAAAACTACAAAAGATATGGAGTCGACAACTGTTCCGTCTGTTGTTTCAGAAATAAGTCATTCGACGGTTGAAACAACTGATAAAACATTGTCGACAACAGTTTCACCAATTGTTTCGGATGTAAGAACTACGAGTGAAGAAACTGATGATATAAAGATAACGAAGAGTGATATAGAAATAACCACTTCTCCAGAACCACCAGTTATTGATAAAACAGATAAAACTATATCAGAGATAACAGCAGATAAAGATGTGACAATTACTTCAACAAAACAGACAACAATAATAGCAGAAGATATGGAGTCGACATCTGTTCCGCCCGTTGTTACAGATATAAGACATTCGACGGTTAAAACAACTGATGACATAATGACAACAACAAGTGATATACAAACAACTACTCCATCAAAACCATCAGATTTTGTACAAACAGATAAAGATGTGACAACTGTTTCGATAGAAAAGATAAAAACTGAGACAACTATTACTCCTATTGTAACAGATATAAGACATTCGACGGTTAAGACAACTGATGAAATAATGACAACAACAAGTGATAAAGAAACTATCACTTCATCAAAACCACCAGATTTTGTACAAACGGATAAAGATGTGACAACTGTTTCGATAGAAAAGATAAAAACTGAGACAACTATTACTCCTATTGTTACAGATATAAGACATTCGACGGTTAAAACAACTGATGAAATAATGACAACAACAAGTGATATAGAAATCACTTCATCAAAACCATCTGGTTTTGACCAAACAATTAAATCAATAGTAGATAAAGAAATGACAACTGTTTCGATAGAAGAAATAACTAAATCAGATGTGGAGTCGACAACTGAAACACCAAAAGTTATACCTATTGTCAGACGTTTATCAACAGCTCTACCAAAAATTAATGACACAATTGTTTCCACAATAATACCAGATATGACTTATTCGACAACACAGTCATCCATTACAATCAAAAGTGTCGATTTTGATAAATCTGCAGAAATGACTACTTCATCGACAGATGACTTATCAACAATAAGAGAGACATCACGTGATGATGTGACCACAGAATCAGTTACTAAACTAATATCTGATTTTATTTCAACGACAATATCTACTCTTAAATCAAGTGTTAGTATAGAATCAACCGACACATCCAAATCTGATGTCACGACAACATCACAAAGTATAACCAAAGTTTCAGATATTATGGATTCGACAACAAGTGAACCAACGTTTACAGGAATGTCAGTCTCTAATGTCTCTGAAGATGTCAAACCTATTACAACAGCTGTTCCAATGAAAGTAACGACAGAAGCAATTTATATCACTAAAGAGCCACAATTGAAGACAACAATTGCAATACAAGACACTACTCTACAAGATGTTACAACTATTGAAACAATGACAACACGTGGAGACAAATTAAAATCAGATTCACATATAACTACAGAAATTTCAAAAGATGATGATATGACTACAATTGAACCACAAATACGACAAACAACACCTAAATCTCGAGAGTCGACAACAATTTCTACAATTGATTTAGATATAAGACATCCAACAACTAAAACAACTGATTTGAAGTCAACATCCAGTGATATACAAACAACTACTCCATTGACTGATTTCGAACAAACAGTTAAATCAATATCAAAGACGACAATTGGTAAAGATTTGACAGCTATTGAAGATATAAAAGATACCACAATTGTATCACTAATGGATAGAAATTTGACAACTGTTTCGATAGAAGAAACAACTGATAAATTTACAAAATATATAGAGTCGACAACAGTTCCGCCAATTGATTCAGACATAAGACATACGACTAAAAAAACTGATGATATAAAGACAAGTGAAATACAATCAACAACTTCATCATCAGATTTTGAAGAAACAGTTAAGATAACATCAGAGTCATCGATGACAACTAAATCAAGAATAGATATCGAGTCAACAACTATTTCATCAATTATTTCAGATAAAAAACAACAAACAACTGAATTAACTGATAATATTAAGACAATAACAACAACAAGTGATATACAATTAACTACTCCATCAATACTAACAATTAAGACAACACAAGATAAAGATGTAACAGTTATTGTGGATTCAAGACATACCACAACTGATTCGATAGAAGAAACTACTAAAACAACAACAGATATGGAGTCGACATCTGTTCCGTCAATTGTTTCGTCAGATATAAAGCATTCGACGACTGTTTTAGGAAAAGATACGGATTTGACTACACTTTCATCAATACCATTGAAATCTGACACAATAACTGGCGTTAATGATAATACCATTTCGACTACTAGTTCGTCGACTTATACTTCAACTGATTCACAGTCCACTTCAAGAGTGTCTGAACCAACTATAAAATTGACCACAGATTCTAGTATATCATCGAATGACTTCATCACAACTTTGATGACCACTAGCAGTGATATTATAAAGACATCATCTGTTGATACGACAACAGAGTCAGTCACTAAAATGATAACTGATTTTATAAATCAAACGATGAAAGAAATTAAAGTACAGACGACAGCGTCTGTGACTCCATCTTCTGCTTCTTCTAATGTTTCTTCGATGACAACTGCGGGTGAAATGGATCTTCCAGAGGGAGGTTTGACATTCATTTCAAAAATAGTTATTATTTTATATAACAAACTTGTTTTTCTCCAAAAGCCTGTGTTTACGACCAAAGGGTCTACCAATCGGCCGAACAGATCCCTCGCCCACATCCCTGTGATTTCTGCTTCTGTTTCCGTGGAGATATCATATGTCTTCAACAGACATGCCCTCCGCCTATCGCCCGGTGCTTTGAAACACATATCGAGGGTTTTTGTTGTCCACGATATGAATGCCGTAAATAACTAATACTTTATTTTTCGTTAAATTTTATATTAATTTAAAATTATGTAATTTCATTCAGCTGTCCAATCGACTACAGTTAATGTAACACTCACTACACCCGGCCCTACAATGCCTACACAAATGGTTGAGAAAAAAGGTATTTATTAAAAATTGAAATAAATTTCACTTGACTTATAATATTTGAAATTCATATGAAAGGCTGTGAAATAAACGGAATCTTTTATGGTATCGGAGAAGTGGTTCGGACGGCTAGTAATCCATGTCTTGAATGCAAGTGTGACCACAAAGGAGTCATGCAATGTGACCCTAAGGTTAGTCATCAAAACTCAGTCTTCAATTTAAAAAAAACCAAATGTAATCAACTCTTGTGTTTCTATTTTTTTTTATAGGAGTGTTCACCTCAGGCACCGTTACTTTTAAGAATGAACCGACAGTTCTTTGACGGTTCACAATCCAAGCGATGATAATTTATTAATTAATTTATCAAAAAACTAATTGTTATTTATATTACAAAATGTCATAACTATTTAAAACAAAATACCAATCAAAGTGTTCGTCACACTTAAGTATCGGACAAAACTTAGCGCTCAACTCATCAAACAATTACTTAATTATTACCAAACATTTTGTGCCAAATCTAGTGTACTCTTTAATGACAAAAAAGGAAACGATTGGCTATAAAAACACTTATTATTTCTCAAAAATCAATTACTCATAAACAAGAATATTGTCCAAGAAGTCACTCAATAACACAAAACTATTGATATCAATATCAGACACAAAAATCCATTCAAAAAATATTGTAAATTAAGGTATTTCTCTACATTTGGTGTGGGAATCATATATTTTATTTGGACATTAGTTTTAAAATTACGATTATTAACTTAAATTTGCAAATTGATTACAATAAATAAGCAATAATAATAATTATTATATAAAACTATACAATATGTTATTTTTAATTGAAAATTACATATTGTGTTCAAGTTAAATGTGATATACAGTAAAATAAAATGATATGAGATTAGTGGTCAATAACTGTAATAAATTATATTTGATTTTGTATAAAGTTTTTATTTTACTTAAAATTAAAAAAACTAAAGTTATATTTATTGTAATCAAATGCATATTCAAATGGGTTTTTTAAATTCAAGTGCTCAACAAAAATATATCGCAACCAAACTTATTGCTCATTATATCTAATGTCTGATTACAAGCGGTAGTGATATTTGTAAAATATAGTATATATTAATATATTTGATATAATAATGTCGGAGCCATTGACCGTCCCATTGGTTACGGGCTTTGGTGGCCACCAATGGCTCTCATTCTGGGATTCATTTTAACAGTTTAACACGTGTTAAATGAGAGACACGTATTTCATGTGATGGATGTGAGGATCACCCAAAACATTAGTCCATTATATTTACTATTTTTATATAATACAGTATTATAATTATTTGATAGTTGTAAGCAAAAGCATTATTTTTAAAAATAAAAAAACAATTTCTTAATATTTATCACTTAAATTATTTCAAAATATCTATAGCTTATACAATACATATTTAGTTTTACAAAAATACCGATATATACGGTACTAAATTGTAAAATACTATAAGCTATTGTATACTATCTGTCCTTTAAAATAATGGCATAATTAAGAAATATTAGTTATCATATAATTAATAAAAAATTTAGAATATTCAATATATATATAAATTTAAATATATTTTTAAAAACCAATGAATTAGCATCAGAGGTATACTTTGTAATATTAATAGTTAAATACTAAATAAGTTTATTAAATCAATATTTTTAAAATACTGTATAATGTAAATAATTTTTAATACATAATTAATTATCAATTGATAAGGTAATTGTTATTTTTTAAATTTATACACAATTCATAAATATATAGCTGAATTTTTAAAAATATATAATTTAATTACATTATATAAATAATTTTGAAAAATAAACTAAAATAAGTAATAATAATACACTAATTATTATTGAATTATTGTTTTATTAGTTTTTATAAAAATTTCATTGCATTCACAGTATTATGTGATTTCATACGTTTATATCAATAGATGTCAGCATTGATTGCAATATTGAATTCAATCATCATTTGTGTCAATGAATGACAAAATCAATGAAACTTTATATTAATTTATCATTTAATTAGTGAATGATTTGAGACAATCATTTGATTGTATACAACACATCACATGTTTCTCAGATCATCACATTGTCTATCACTTAACTGATCCACAAATTTCCATCCATTTTATTAATTTAATTAATTGAAGTCATTTTTAATATACAGTTTGGGTAAAATTTATAGTTAACCGTAAGTTTTGCATAAGTTTTTAAATATTTTAATATATATGTGATACTGTAAATAAATTAATTGCTATAGCATTTAAATTTATATATCTATAATTTATATATATATAAGTTTATATAATTTTATACAATTTAATACAATTTAATATAATTTAATACAATTTAATACAATTTAATACAATTTTATACAATTTTATATAATTTAATACAATTTAATACAATTTTATATAATTTTATAAATTATTAACTAAACGATTGTCATATCATATGTTATATGTTTTCAAACGCTATGTATTTTGTAATGAATATATAGATGGCGTTATTTGTCTTTAATTTAAAATTTTATTGTATTTAAATTTGTTTGATTAAGTAAATGTTTTGAATGATCATGCTCAGTTTTTTTAATTAGTTTAGTTATTGTAATTATTGTTATTATTGTATTACATTTTATCAATTTATTTACAATATTATTAATTCAATATATTTTAGACAAATGTCAATTAAAATATTTTTTAGTTTTTCAATTTAAAAATTAGATATTTTTTAAATGTCAATTATAGTTATACTATATACCCTATATCAATATATATATATATATATATATATATATATTATATGATATTGTTTTATGGTTACTTCAAATAAATAAATGAGAAATTAAATTATTAATTAAATATTTGATTTTAATGTTTTAATAGTGTTAAACAATATAACCTATAAATGTTAAGACATTGTGAGACACCGATAGACACAAACATTAATGAGATATTCATTGAATGCACTATTGATTTAATTGACTATAATTTTAAAACTAATGACTAAAATGTTGTCATTAAGTACTGGACTGACAGTTGACATGAAATGACAAATTATTTATGAATTACATTAAGTTTATGAACATTATATACATTAGCATTACATATATTATAATGCAGTATATAATAACATATATAATAATATTATATTCAAACAAATGTATTACTAAAAACAAATTAATGAATTATATATTTTTGTTAATTTTAACCAATTTCTAGACATATATGTTGATGTCTTTATACTGAAAATGATATTTTTTTATTAAACATTTAATTTACAATTTATGATAAAATGTTTGAGTGATATCTTCAAATTAAGTAATTATATTATAACTACAAAAAATATTAAGCATATTTAAGCATATTTTTATAGTAAAACAATTTCAGTGATGACTTGTTTACATTATATCATATACTTTATACAACATTATATATAACAGTAGTTTTGATGAAACATTTATATTAAGAGAGAGAGAGAGAGAGAGAGAGAGAGAGAGAGAGAGAGAGAGAGAGAGAGAGAGAGAGAGAGTAGTTAGATATATAGAGATCTTAAATGTTGGAAATGAATGGATTGAATAACAGAATCATTGCATACAATCAGATCATTAGTTATGAATTCGTGTTGCAATCGATTCATTGCTTTACATTAAAACTCATTGAATATTCAAAAACGAAACCAAAATTATTTTAATCAAAGACTTGGTCTTTGTTTTATGTAAATCAAGTCATTTATAATCAATTGAATACATAATACAGTTTTATGCTATATATTGACATTAAAGTATATAAAAAGATAACATATAATCACATTTTCAGAGTTTCTTATCATTATTTTGCTGCTATTTGTGATCAAAATCTCGGAATTTGTTAATAAAATCTATTGTATTTTTAATATATGATAGTTAAACATTAAATTTGTAATACAATCAAATTATAATTTGCTTAATTTTGTCATTAAGTTTATTCAAAGTACATTAAAAAACATTTGAAAATTGTATTACAATTAAATATTGCGCATTTGCTTAACAAAAAAAGTATATTTAATAATTTTAATAAAGAGACTATTTTACAAATATTTTTGCATATTTTCTCATGAAAACAATATGTCATACATTGTCTTATTGAATAAATTAAAAACAATGTATGATTTGAAATGATTTGATACATAACTACAGTACAAAATAATATGAATCACGAATCTATAGTTTATGCTATTTTTGGTTTACTTTGTGTGTAGTAATTGTGGGAAAATGTTTGATACAAACGTGTATTTTTTAGATAGTATTCAAATATATAAATAGTATATATTGTTAAACCAATAGATTTCTATATTATTCTATAAGAAAACATTGCATTTAATGATTTAATTACTTATTAATCATTAGCTGATTATATTTATCTAAATATTATAAATACAGGGGCATTAAATTAATGGTTGATCCATTGAGTGATGAAATAAAAGACATTATTTAAAGCTATAATCTATTTTAATAACGATTTGACTGTAATTTAGCTGAAACAACGCCAAAAGCAAATTCAATCAATGTTTTAGTAAGCAATCGATTTATCAAATAATCATTAATTCAAATATTATTAACTCTTTAAACATTAAAATTAATGTTTAGGAAATATAATTTATATAATTTCATTATTCAATGTACTGTATGTAAAAAACCACATAATTTTATGGCTTTGCACTGCATATCAAACGATTAGATGTCATATTTTTATATTGCATTCAATTGCATCACTTAATTGAATATAAAATTAAATGTAATTATTTGTAATAACTTTATTATATGCGAATTGTATTTTATCAACTATACAAATAATTTTATTAGAATTATTATCATATTTTTTGTTTGTTTTATTTTTTAAATGTTATATACATTATTGATATAATAATATTATGATTTACAATTTAAAAAATAATAGTTATTTATGTAATGTTATTAAATGTTGAATGAATGGTATAAATAATAATTACATTGTAAATAAAATGATGATTATTTGGTGTGGTCTTTAGGATGATATTTATATTGAATTTATTGGTTTTTTATATATTTGATAGAAAATTAGTTTTTTCAATCATTTGATCCTCTATTACACGATTTTTATGTACAAGTCTTGGCGGTGGGTCTATCAATTTGTTTGACCTTTTTTTTGCTAACTGGCCAAATAACAAATTTACTATTGAATAGGTCATTACATTATCCTATATTACCCTATTTGAATAATTATTAGCTTTTTATATGTATATAATTAATACTTGGTTTTTCTAACATTTTATATATTTTTTAATTATCAAATAAGAAATTAATTTGTATTTGCAAATATAAATAACAAATATTTATTATACATGTAATGAACTATTTTAAGATTGCAAACTAATGATATCTAAATAGTATTTTAATTTTTGTTTAATGCAAATTACATTAATAAAAATTATATAATAGGTTGGATGAAGAAGTAGTTATTTTAAATGTATATTCTATTAGTTTGTATTTATTGGTAGTTAAACAATCAATAAATATGTTAAATAGTAGATAATTGAAATTTATATATAATATCATAGTGTACTTAAAGCAGTTATTCATGTATTTATTTCGTTAAACTTTTTTTACGATTTTTCAAAATACATATTTGGTAATCAATTAATTTAATATTTAATATTATTTTTGTTAATCATGATTATAATATTAACCTATTTGATTGATAAATTGATAAATAAGTCGAAAATTACTAAAGTAAGGGATTGTTTAGATTATGATAATATAATATTCAATTATAAATATCTATAGCAAACTTAAAATCAACGATAATATAGAAAATTAATTTACAACATGTTTTAGTATTTTATAGCTAATTATTGCTATCGATATTGAAATAAATGATATGTAATGTAAAAATTTTGAGTTTGTTGGTGGCATTTGTCTAATTTGCAGATAATGTTAAAAATAATGTTTTTTAACACAAAACTCATAAAACAATTAAATTAGATTAACATGTTTTGTGTTTTTATTTGAATACATGTTATGTGTGTTGTATTCAAATATAAAAGTCAAATAAGCGTAAAATGATAGCATGTTTTACTAGTTATTAACAATTTCATTAAAAATGGCTTAAAAGAGTTTCAAAGGGTTTGACAGGAAGTTTGAGTCGCGACTCAATAATTATAAAAAGTGCTGTTTTTAACCTCTAATGGCTATTAAATTGAAACTTAATATCTAGTTTAAGAAGTTTTCTCAATAAATTCAATGTCTGTTTTGACAAAAGACTGTATAAAATACTGTATAGACTGACTAATAATAAAATAATTAAAGCATTTGTTTATAATTGACAGTCAAATATACTTTAAAAATAAAACAAAAGTTAGATTATTTTATACTATGAAAATGCAATTTAATAACACTATAAAACTGTTAATAATCGTTTTAAATTAAATAATGTTTGAAAAGTTTTATAAGTTTTTAAAATCATATGAAAAGTTTTGGTAACAAAAAATTTTTAACAAACATTTAAAAAATGATTTACCTTTATTTTTTAGGATAGTTTAATAAAACTATACTTTAAAAACTATAAATAACTATATATAACAATTACTTGAAACCACCAGTCATTAATGATCTAAGCATTACTTAAACTCATGTTTATATTAATAATATTAATATAGACTTAACCTACCCCTGCGTTTAATTTTAAAATATTAGAAGTAATTTTAATTGTAATTATTGTTATTTTTTAACATTTAGTTATGGAAACCTATTATAATAATTCATAACAAATGCCTTTTAAAAAGACATTAATATTATAGAAATGTTGTTTCATTTAATAGGCTATCGACAGATTGTGGCCCAGAATTTAAAGTATGATTTTAATTGCTTAACAATTAAAGAGCAGATGATTTTGTAGACAATAAGCCATTACTTGAATTGTCGATTACGTGAGTCATTTTGAGTCAAATAAAAGGTGTCTTTGCACTGAAACGATACTTAATTGTATTTTATGACTTAAAATATAATTGGATTTAATGTTTTACACATTACGACCATTTTTTAATGTAAAAAAGACTTTCATTTTATGCAAATCAGTTAAACAAATAGTAGATCAGAGACCAGAAAGAATGTTGTCTTGTTTGGTGACCCGACCCGATGTACCACAAGTGATGTTTGATATGTTGAAAGAGCACTGTCATGTCGACATCTGGCAAAATGCATCGATAATGCCCAGGGATGAGCTAATGGTGCGCATCAAAGGCAAGACTGCATTACTCTGCACTCTCTCCGATCGCATTGACTCTCAAGTGCTGGACTGCACCGATAACTCACTTAAAGTGATCTCTACCTTATCTGTTGGTTACGATCACATCGACATCAAAGAGTGTCATAAAAGAGGTATTGTCGTCGGCCACACACCTGATGTACTGACCGATGCAGTCGCTGAGCTTACCATTGCTTTATTATTGGCCACATCTCGACGTCTTTTTGAAGCTGAAAAATCGCTCCGAAAGTAATGCAAACTATTTTGATAAATGTTTTGATATATAGCTTAGAGAGGAATTACTATAAATATTTAGATTATCTTAAGTGTTTAGAGACATATTAGGTTTAAATAATGAAATAATAAATATTTATATAAATAGCGGTCAGTGGAAGCCGGGATGGAATCACATGTATATGTGCGGGAACTCCATAAAGGGTAGTGTCATTGGGTTTGTGGGCGCCGGTCGTATCGGTTTGGATGTACTTAAGAGACTTAAGGCCTTTGAACCAAAACAGTGTTTATATTGTGGAAATAATGCAAAGTCTTTGGTGGACTCAATGGGCGCTAAATTTGTATCGTTTGAAGAATTGCTAGAAAAGAGTGATTTTGTAATAATTAGTTGTTTATTGAATGATAAGACGCGTCATATGTTTAATGAGATGGCATTCAAACGCATGAAGAAGAGTGCAATTCTTATTAATACAAGTCGTGGGTCTGTTGTCGACCAGAAAGCCCTCTACAATGCTCTCAAAAACGGAGACATTAAAGGAGCCGGACTTGACGTCATGGAAGTTGAACCGATTCCTATGGACGACCCCCTCCTCTCCCTGTCCAACGCCGGTATGTCTGCACATTGACATCGACTCTAACATTGAATTTAATTAAATACGGAGTCTCTCTAAACTCACCACAAAATATACTCAATAGCAGAGGCAGTGCTTTCAATGACAGCAAACATTAAAAATCTTTTTTCATTTTAATGTTTCATTCAATACACCCAACAATACACTAGAAAGACATTAAAACTACAACTCAATGACTGATTGAAACACTGATTCATTTTTGAGACAACCACTCAATAGTGAATAGTGTACTGCTTTCTAGTCTATGCTTTAGTTTATATATATTACTATAATATTAGTGAATTAGTCAATAACTCAGTGATAATGTTTTATTTTGTGATGAAAGACAAGTTTATATTAGTTTTCATATATTCATTGGATTTAATAGCAAATAATTTATTAAATTATTAAAATATATTTATTGAAAAATATTTATATATATTTATTTTATAGTAATATTACCACACATTGGAAGCGCTTCTCATGAGACTCGGGTGGCAATGGCTGAGCTAACGGCTCGCAATGTGATAGCAGGCCTACAGCAGTGCCCACTGCCCGCTGCCGTACCCGTCAGCCAATAAGCCTATCCTCTGCACTCCTCATAGATTAGTGTTGTTTGCAAAACATTTTTAAAGCTTATAATTATATTTTGCTATTCAATGTATACCTGTATATCATATGTTTTGTTATAACTAATGGTAATTACTATACGAGTCTTGACTTTTCGTGTTTCACTTTTTATATGTATTTTGTTTTCCGTTTGCACTCATAATAAGACAACCTTTAGGTTAGGTATCGTTCTTAGAAAATATGAGCACCACTTGTGTGGCCTCAGAATTAAGCGAAGATTATGTGCCATAAGGAGACTAACCTAACGAGGCTGTCGTCATCCAAGTGCCCAAACCTTACTATAGGCTCCACTCATCCCTTATAGAGAAGAGAACCGAGAATTTTTCACAAGACTCTCAACGCTGGGAACTACACTCAGATGTATGAGCCAGACATGTATGAGACAACTGATAACTATATAATACCTGATTTACTGTATCTATGTATTTAGGGGTAAAACACATACCTATTAGATAAGCATTATTTTTATCTTTAAAAAGTAGTAAAACGTGAACTAAACTAACTTTTAATGAATACCATATCAAGCGTTGGAATGTTTTTTACACCAATTTATTGTTAAATCTTTTTTTACATTCAATTCCCATATAATAGTTAATTATTTTCCGTATCTTCAATATTAATGTTTTTTTTTGTTTTCAAACTTATACTATACTATTGATATATTATTGGTAAATATATTTATTTAATAATTGTTTTTTTTAAGAAAATTCAATAAAATGTAGTTAATTTAAAATTAATCACTAAAACGATAAATGATTTGTCACTAAATAATTGACGATTAATTGCAAACTTAATAGCATTTTGTTTTGTAATGATTTGCAGGACTGGGCATTGGATTCGTTAACAAAACAAATCGATATCATTATTCATGACTTGACTACTGTTGTTGTCATTTACTCATTAAGACTATTATTCAAACTTTTCTCAAGCCATACATTAACACTATTACATCATGAGATCAAAAACCAACCTTATATTATTTGAATTCAATTTGTAGTAAATTGAATAAAAATTATTAAAATATTAGTTATATTTATATTGATTTTTTTTATATATAAAGTTAATTAATTTTGATATCAATTTTAACTATACATAGTTGAGTATTACAATGTTTTTGCTATTGTTATAAAAATTAATGACAACTAAAATAATAATTAGCAATTTGATGAAATGTTTGGTTATATTTGTATATAATTTAATGAAACATTTGTAAGTCTTGAAAATGAGTAAAACGATTGAATGAATGGATGTATTGAATGTATTGAATGTATTGAATATTGTAATAAACTAAGAGATGTTCAGTTGTAAAGCCTGTGTCGCCAAACCCTGTGGTCATTGCTATCAATGCTATTATAAGCGCTTAATGTAATGAAAGTGAGATATACTGAGTTTGACAGCAATCACTTCACACTTTAATAAACTCTATGTTATTGTCGAGTCAATGGACTCATTGAGGAACCCATAGATTATTTTAGGCCCACATTCTTAGCATACATACAAATGTATTACCGATATAACTGTCACTCGACTTAAATTTATTATCGAAATAATAGTTTAAAATATAAATATCGAATAAAATAAATTTTGAAACTACTGTTTGAAACGATTATTTGAAATGTTAAAAAATATTGGTATCATTTTTATTATGTATAATATCTATTGTGGGACAGGTTTTATTGCCACCAAAAGGTGAGTAAATAGTGTTATATTTATGCGTTATTTGACTGCATTTACTGTTAATATATAGCATTTGTGTTGAAATATCTATCACTTTATGAAGTGTCAGATTATAAACGCAGAAGTATTGCACAGGTATTAGTTGATTGCATTATATAATATAATATTAGGAATAACACTGTGTTTCCATAGCAAACACTACAGAGACGTGAAATTTAATTCAAAACAAACTTTATTTTCATAAATATTATTAATAATATTTATAATGAAAACATCGAGAAATGCGTATAAGTTTTGTTCATAAAAGTCATTATAAGTTATGAATAGTAAGAATAGTCTTACAATTGTTTCTCAAGTAATGTTTGGCGAAGCGATGCCTTACAGTGTTTATCATGCAATAAGACAATCACCACTTGAATCAACACTTAATCTTAATAATCATTATTACAATCATAATAAACGCTTTATATATTATTTTTTACTGCATATATTAACGCCATTAATAATGACAATGTCTGACATAAGGCATATTTGATGTCATTTTGTGGTCAAATATCTGATTAAAATATTCTGTGATGACTTCGACAACAAATTCTCGAAGTATTGATAGCAACGAACAAATGACAGGAAGAGGAGTGTCTAATAATGCTGTGTTTCACGACCAGAGACCACCAGAACTTGGTTTCGACAATATTAATGTTACCATTAGGTTAGGTTTAACCACATTTGTCATAAACCATACCTGTAATTACTAGTAAATAAATTTATTGATAAATATATATTGAATTGCAGAGTACGGCCGGTGTCAACAAAATACGGTCTTTATAGCGATCGTAAGGAATCGTCACTCAATTTTCCAGACGCCGGACAAATCCAAGTACAGCCCCTCATATCATATCCCTTAATATTTTTACACACAACTGTTCCCAACATATTTGTAGTGAACCCTATGGCCCTATGGCTTGTTAGCACTCAATCACCAAATTTGTTGATTATGTTTTTTTCAAAAGCCTAGAGCCTCTCTCAGCCTAAACTCAGGTATCATAACAGTGCTAATGATGAGGTTGTAGTGCAACTGTTTTAGTGAATCAATGTATTCACAATAATTGCAAACAACTATAAGCTTTACTATAACATTGAAATGTTATGCCATACCATACAATGCTTGTTATCCCAGTTATAGCCCACACTACTTATGCTAATAATAGGTTAGAAATATGGATATAATCATCACTTATTACTGCATACCACCAAAGTTGATATTATTGTTGATGATAATGTTGTTGATGATATTGATGACTATTTTGTTGGTTTTTCTTAATCACTGTATTGGCACCGATAGGTTTGCGATCCTATATCAGGAACGAGTCGTTCGTTTACATTCAATGTAGTCTTTGAACCGGAAGCGACACAAGAAGAAGTGTTTGAGCACTCGGGAGTCAAACGGCTCATTGATATGTCTCTCGATGGGTAACACTGATACCACACATGATCTCTTGTCTGTTATTTTTTTTGGCTAATTATAACTTATGTATCTATTTGTCATTACAATAGTTTTGCCTGTACAGTATTGGCTTACGGCCAGACCAGCTCAGGAAAGACATACACATTGACAGGCAATGCATTTGAGGTCTGTGTCTCTTATATCTCATATAACAGTATTTTACTGCCATTTCCTTAGCTCTTGTCTCTTAAATATTGCTATTAAGTAATAAATTTTGTTTAACGAGCTCTTCATAAGTGAGAGAGAAAAATATTTATCAAAACAATAATATTGTATATATTATATAATAAGAGAAATGAGAACTAAATTGAATGATAGCTATGATTGCAATGAATTGCAAATTGCTATCCAAACGACATATATTATATGTTAGCAAATGTATTATATGTTTGTCTAAATGTGAGGCAATAACACATTTGAGAGACAATTTGAATGTGAAATGTAATGCCATTCAGCCATTCAAACAATTTTAGCAAAAGAGATGCCAATTGCCTGAACACACACTCTCTTACAAATTACTTGTGTTTAAGTATATTATTAGTTATGAGTTGTAACTATAGGTAACATTTGTCTCTATTTATTCAAACTGTCATTATATGGTTTTACAGCAAATTTCTACGTCCGAGAGTACAATCACTGGTAAAGGAAGTCCTAATGATGGCAGAGGAGAGGGACAGGGAGATAGAGGAGAGAAGAAAATGATTGGTGTCATGCAATTAGCGTTTGCATATCTGTTTGAACAAATCAAACTCAGAAAAAACAGAAGTCTTTTCTACATTATTCATGTCTCTTACCTTGAAGTCTATAACGAACAGGTATTATCATATTAGTCATTATGAGCCACTTTCTCAGCCCCTCCACTCACCTGAGTGACAGCCCCACCAACTATCCTAACTAAGCGCTGACATGTCTATTACCAAATAATATTTGTTTGTATTCAACACTTAATTACTATTATTTGACTCAAATCATTCATCTCCAGGTTCTCGATCTGCTTAACCCATCGCCAAAGAGTCTAAATGTTAGGTGGGCTAAGGACAGGGGTTTTTATGCTGAGAATCTATTTAAAGTCGAGTGCGAAGACATTGGAGATCTCGAGGGAGTTCTCGAAGAAGGTCTATATTTAATTGTACTTTAATTAGAATTACTATTATATGCCAGTCCTCTGCTATAACAGGATGTAAGAATAGACAGGTTCGCAGTCATAGTATGAATGATAACTCGAGTCGATCGCACTCTGTTATGACCATCACATTGGCCTCTGAAACCCAAGACCCAGAGGATCCACAGGTAATCAATAGGAAAATGCACTTTATTTACATATATATATCAAATGACAACAAATACAATAACTTATATATCAATACTTTAATATCTATGCGCTTCACAACTTTTATAGTATAGTTGTGGCGCCTCTCAGATAACTCATTAGAAACACTTAAAACTGTTTTACTTTTTTTTCAATGAAAAGGGATATATTAGACGAGAGGGTCGCTTATGTATTGTTGATTTGGCAGGCAGTGAGAAAACAAAGAGAACTAACAGTAAAGGAGAGACACTAATTGAAGCCAATAATATCAATCGCTCTTTGCTTGTTTTAGGTACCAGTGCTTAAACTTGAAAAGTCTCAAATTTTCTCAAATATTAGCCCTATAAATAGCTTTTTATTTACTTTACAAAAGGCAACTGTATTTCCTCTCTGGCCGACCCTAAGAGGAGAAGCGGTCACATTCCCTATCGAGACTCTACTCTCACTAAACTATTGGCAGACAGTCTTTCTGGAAGTGGAATGACTTTAATGGTAATAGTAATGGACTTTATTTTTAATTAATAGACTTTATAATACATAATATCATATCGCATATCAATATTAAATATTTCAGTGTAATTGTAATAATTGTACTAATCTTAAAGATAATATCATAATCAGTTTGCTATTTGCGTTTAACATAGCAATTGAAAATCAAATTAAATATTAATTTCAAACAGTATTACAACTTTTTTAGATTTGAATTTTTTATCAATATGAATGATAGTTAAAATTACAAATATATTTATGAATTTATTTCTTATACAAAACAAGGATTTAGTTTTGTGCAAATATATACAGTATCATACACTGTATGACATACAGTATTATACAATAATATTTGTTTATATTTATATAATATCATATTTCTCAAAAATTCATTTTAAAAATTAATATAAAAAATTCTAAATAATTAAAATTATTTTATTTGAGACATTTTTTATAGTGAATAATAACTTAAATAATAGAATTAAATTAATATCTTAAATATTTTTCAATTAAATTCAATATATTTAATATAAAAACACTGTTTGAGACATATCACTAAATTTATATGCATTTGCTTTTATTATTAGCTATATTTGCCATCAAAACAAAAATATTCTAAATTTAATGTATATTATACAGTATATTGTATGTACAATATACTCAATACTGTATATAGTATGTAATATACTGTTTATACTGTACATGTTCAGTATAATATATTGTAGTATTATATGTTAGTTGTTTTACTATTTATAAAATATTCAAAATATACATTTATTAACTACATTAGCTATGTTGTAGTATTTTTTTATATTGTAATAAATGAGCATAAATTTATTGGTAAACATTTGACCAAATTATATGTAATACTATTTATGATATTTATGCTAATCTTTTATAAATTCAATTTTACACAATAATTGTTGGCTGAAAATACATCTCACAAAACTGTGTTAAGAGAACACATTATTCTTCAATGGTTTACAAAAAATAATAATATTTGCTTATAAAATGCATTTATTATTATAAAAAAATTTACACAACTTTATTTGTTTTATCATCATTTCCTATAAAAATACATATTTAACATTGTGTAATAACATCATAAAAAACAATATAACATTAATAATAAAAGAAAGATTATCTAAACATTAAACTTATTATTTTATTGTAGTTTTTAGTGACTGTGTAATCACTAATGATTACAAAATATAAAAAACAATTTTTATAGATTAGTGATATATTGTATATACAGTAATAGTTTACAAGTTTTTTTGGTTAATGATAGACAAGATTAGAGAAATGATGAGAAAGCAAATAAATGATAAATTATTTGAATTGATTGATAGATAGCTTGTGTATCCCCCCATAAGTTGGACGCATCGGAAACAATCAATACTTTGCGATACGCGGCCAGAGCTAAGAAAGTCAAGACTCATCCTATCGTTCAAATGGTTTGTCAATAAAATGCTTTCATTTGTTTTTGTTGTCGACAATAACGACAATAACAGCAAACAACATGAAAATGAATGCATTAATTATATAGTAATTGTCTCCTCTATTAATGCCATACAATATACTGTATATTTAGGATCCGCGAGAACTACTAATATTGAGTTTGAAACGAGAGGTCCGTTTGTTGCGAATGGAGAATAACTATTTGAGACAACAGGTAATTGTAATGCAAAGCAAAACACATTTGTAGACCATTTGAGGCAATCCAGAGCTCACACCATTTGATACGTTTGTGCAAACATTGCCCAAAGCATGTGTTGTTTTAAACTTATCATTAAAGTGATTACAGTCAACTCAAACTCTAATTTGTTGGGAGGGATACTCAATGTGTGTGTATGTATGTGTATGTGTGTATGTGTGTATGTGTGTATGTGTGTATGTGTGTATGTGTGTATGTGTGTATGTGTGTATGTGTGTATGTGTGTGTCTATTGTGTAATCAAACTTAATCTATATGTTTGTCTCAATATATCTAAACTACACAAACTATGGATGCATGCATTAACAAGTTATAGACAAAATATACTGTATTTGCATTTATTTAAATACAGCTGAATCTCGGCAATGGATATTTGGTTAGTACTAGTAATGGATTGGCCGGTAATAAGACGAGCACAGAGAGGCCCACTTCTAACGAGTCAAACGGATCAATGGATGAGAAGATCCAACTGAATGGAGAAGCAGGTCTACAGCCAGAGATACTAAATAAATATATGCAGGAAAACGAGTCATTGCGGTCAGTCTCTTATGATTTAGACATGCATTTCATATACATATTGAAAATATATTATATTTGTTGGTTGGAGTAAAACAAACAATAAACTTATTATCTATGACTAGCATAGCGTATATGGTATTCATAGTGAATCATGTATTTATAATATTATCTATTTTTGTATGTCTGATGACCTCCAATACCGCCAATAGAGCCGAGAACTCGCAACTACATCAACAGAGACAGACCCTAATACATGACCACGAATTGGTTTGTCGCGAAAATGAACGACTCTTGAGAAGACTGTCTGCCGCCGGAGATAATGCCGACTCAACCGCAAGGCTTACCATTGAAGATGAATGCGTTGACAGCAATCACTTATCGTCAGATCTCAAGAGTAATGCTATGAAAGATCTAAAGGGGAGTCGTAGACAAGCATTGGATAATGAGAGACAAACAAAAGCCATACAACAGAATCAACTACTGGTCCAACACAACGGTTCAGTTGGTATGTCTCATAATATATATATGCTATATATCTGTATATCTTATATATTGATTATAATCTTATATTTTAATAACTGCTTGAATGTGTGTGGCTTTTGGTTAATGCGTTTCTCATCATAACCTCATTGTGTAGATCTGAGCCCAAACTTTGAGTTGAGAGGAACGTCAGCAGCAGCTGCACGCACCAGAATAATTAGGAAGAGCAACAAATAACTACCTGAGCTATCATAACATTGATGCCCATTAGCCACAATCATTGGTGTGCCTTTCCTCGCAAATTCCTACCTGTAATCTGACATCACTTTACTATTTATTGCTGAGCATTGAGAACATGGAGTCTCCAAATAGTAGAGTCAGACCAGTGATGATTGTAGTGATGCTGAGTTAACCATTGAGCTCCAGTGATGGCCTATTTTATTATGAATACCATTACCGATGGTCGTCACGATTTATCGATTGTATTACATATCACTTATAAAGAGCCCAACAAATCACGCGCTTAACAACTGTGCGCTTCTCATCATAATTAGTGCTCGTTTGAAATCATTTAAAACTATTTGAAATCATTTTAGGATAATCACTAATGATTCATATTTAGACATAGACACGAATTTTTACATTTATTTATTTATTTCAATGTTTTGACATAACAATTGAAAATTAGCTTTTGTTAAATGTTGTTATAATATAATCATACGATTCCTGTCTCTAAATACAAGCATGAATCACAAATTGTAAGTTTTAAAAATATATATAATTGTTTAAATCAATAAAACATAAATACAACATACACGTTATTGTTATTATAGATAATGTTATTTAAATTAAATGATTATTTTTATTTATAATTTTAAACAAATTGAGAATTTTTCTAAAAATATAAAGTACTATTTGCTCATAAAATAAATAAAACATATACCGGTATAATATATATGATATATTATATAAATATATGTCAACGAATCATAAATTAATTTATATAAAATATGAAATATAAACTAAATGTTATATATATTGTATGTTGAATACTATATAATCAATTAAATTAAAATTTTTTATATACTATTATGTATAATGTATTAACATTTTATAAAACAAATAGTGTATACAATACACTGTATAGTACTAAAAACAGAAAAATAAAAAACTAATAAATTCTGTAATTTTAACAATAGTTTATTTTTGTGTAAATCTCATCTTAAATGACTGTTTTGTGTGTTATTATAACAATAATAGTAATAATTTGAGAGTATATCTTATGATATAATAATATGAGAACATGTGTATTGTGTGTTGATATTAGTGTGTATTTAAGTGAGAATAGAGTGCATGAAATGCCATGAAATGCAATTCATAGCAATGTTTGTGAACAATGTATTCAAAGTTTCTATTATAGATGTCATGTATTTACATGTATTTCATAATTATTTTTATACTCTTCACTAAATCTTTCCGACACTCAGTTGGAGTTCTCGACTCTTTCACGCAAATCGTTAGTAAAAATGTTAATTCATTTTATATATTATAGCATAACATAGTCTACATAAAGTCTATGCTTTTATGCAAAACTAGCATTTAGTAGATTTTGTTGTGTGTGTCATATACTCTCTCTTATGTTGCCATTAAAACTGGTATATATTATACTTTATATGTGCTGACAGTGCACCAGAAACTGTTGGTTTGCTTTACAATATTGGTTACAATTGAATACCAGTGAGTGAGTGAGTGAGTGATAGAAAGACAGACAGACAGAAAAAAAGAAAGAAAAATAGAGAGACTGTATGACAGTATGAAAGTATATAACGAGGACTAGTTGTGTGACAGATAAGTTGTTATACACGAAACTGTAGTGAATCAGTGAATCAGAAATGAAGGGATGGTATGGGATGCGGTGCGGATGCGACTAAATGAATAGGGCTTCGCTGGCTTTCGTGAGGCCGACTACTCCTACTGCTAATCAATTTTCAATAAAGGATCTAAAACTCATACAAACTAATACTAACTATACAACTGTGCAAATAATGCAAACAAAAAATATACAAAAATAGACAAAACAGACATTAAGTCTAAAATAGAGAGACAGTACAATTTGCATGTGATGTGCATTACCGGTGCTGTACTCACTGATTATATAGCATTATATTACATGTATTTATTCTAAAGTGGCTCCCATGTCATGTCATACCCTACCAACGCCTTATCCATTGATTTATTACTAAACCAATCGATACTTTGTTTCTCAGTTTAAGATAAAAAAGAGAAAATTGGTCTAAATATTGATGGAGAAGACAAACACACGACTAGTTGTGTATCGCATAAAAAATTGATTCGTTAAATGTTTGCCATAAAACACAAGTGAATCACTGAATGAGAGCTGGGATGTTGACTACCACTAGACGTATGTTCACTATTGTATTGTATATACAGTATATACACTATTTGGTTCAATGATGCGAAAGTTTAAATAAGATTATTCAATGTGTAATATCCTCATAAAGTATATTCTCTACTATTCCACAGCTCTCTCTCTCTCTCTCTCTCTCTCTCTCTCTCTTTCATTCACTCATTGAATACATCGCAATGATTACTACGACCACCAGTGCTGTCATAGAAACACAAAATTATTTTATATTTGTATAATATTTATGGAGAGTTGTGAGTATGAACTAAGCTTTCTCTAAAAATTTTGGATCAAATATAAGTCGATATAATATGAGATGAGTCTAAGTTAAGATGAAAGATGATTCAATGAATGAATGAATGGGAGAGAGATAGAGAGAGAGAGAGAGAGAGAGAGAGAGAGAGAGAGAGAGAGAGAGAGAGAGAGAGAGAGAGAGAGAGAGAGAGAGAGAGAGAGTTGAAAGGAAGTGAAAGAAAGAGATGAGAGATGAGTTTAAATGAAAAAAGAGATAAAATGATGGTTTGAGAGCTGAGAATAAAGTTGAGTCAATAAAGAGAGAAGCGATAGAAAAGAGAAAAAGAGAGTAAAGAGAGACACTTTGAGATGAGTTATATATTTGTGATATCATAGGAAAGGGAGAGAATTAAAGCGCGAATTGACGGCGTGAACATTGACTGCACAGTGTGTTTGTTATGACAGCTCCACCCTATGGGCTGAGTGTATGCACCGGCAAATGGTTTGGTATCGGTTTTATTGGTTGACACGCGCGAGTGCCACGTCTATGGATAAGTAATTCCTACGGGTTTGTGAGGAACTGGCTCTGCAAAACAGGCTCTGCTATACTGTAAACGCTATGAACTCGCTTTATAACGCTTTAGGAGACTCCTCTCACAGTTTTTGTATGACTGTTCACAGTTTCGTACCAAAGATTCGCACGTGAGGTTTGAGCCAATCCACCATATCTTGAGAGAGAAAGAGAGAGAGAGAAATAGAGAGAAACACCAAAAGAGAGATTGAGAGAGTGTTAGAGAGAAAGAGAGAGATAGATAGAGAGAGTTACCTCACTTTGCCAACACTGCCTCACATCGCCAAAGTTGGCACACATAACATATACAAACTGTCCTCACATTCATAAAATTTGGTGTCATATCAGAACCTATAAGTTTTTAGGCGACACATCCAGGCATGTCATCTCAAGCCAACGTTCACACATATATGTATGTCGTTCTTGTGGCCAAATTCTCGTGAAGCCGTCAGCACTGGTATATCATTATACTTGTGTCGCAAACAATACTTTTCACAAATTATTGCGTGATATTTACAACACTCTCTCGTCATAATAATAATAATATCACCACCGACTAAAAAAATACGACTGTCCATCAAAACAATCAAAACATTACTGATTTTGTGATTTATATTTTATTTATAATTTATTTAATATAGAAATGTGTTTAAATTTAAAGTCCTAATTGTTGACATTGCTTTTATTATCATTAGTTTTTTAAAACTAAAATCTTACTTTTTAAGTGCAATCAAATTAATTAATAACATATATAATAACATAATTTATTATCTAATCTTTCATACGCCTAACCATTTGATCCCATTCTCAACACTAAACAATCGGTAAGTAATTTGATATTCAATTTAGTTTATCATTATTTGCATTTAATATTTAATTTGTAATCTTTAGTAGAAATGTATTTAAAAAATATTTAATCAATTTTATAAATGTCTTTAATATTTCTTTTTAGAGACTAGTTTTGACACTAAATGTTGTTTATGTAAAGCAAAACTCAGAGATCTCATAAAGAATTGATGTGAAGAATATCATTGATAAGTAAATGGAGAGAACAACGACTTAGTGATCGTATGTCTCAATCTCTGTATAAGTGGTACTAAAAGTGGAAAGCCTTGAGAATCGACTGACAACAACAACAACAACAACAACAACAACAACAACAACAACAACAACAACAACAACAACAACAACTCAAACAATTAGCAAATCCTACGAAAAGTTTATATTTTAACTATATTTTTATTTGACTAAAAAAGTCAAAACTATTATCGTTTAGCAAATTAATAATTGTTTAAAAATCATCAAACGATATACACTGTGAATAATAAATAATACTAATATATAAATAATATATAAATATATAAAGTTTGGACTGTTTTTATTAAGTAGTATCTGATTGTAAATTTGAATGTTAGTGTTTGTAATAGACTTGTATTGGTCATCACGTAAAATAGGGATCAATGAAATTTCGTCTTGATGTAGAGCCCTGGCCAGCACACGAATTCAGTGATATGGCATACCAACAGCCTTTCCTATTAAGACCGGCTGATTTTAGCTACCGTTCAGCTCAGCCACAGTCGGCTTATTTGTCAGCTTTGGCAGCATTCGGACCCATGTCTGGACTGTTCGGTAAAATGCCCTCACAATTGCCAGCGCCTCTGTCAGCGGGCGGTTCGCCCTTCATTACAGCTGAGGACGTGTTGGCGTCGCACTCACTCGGAGGCGGCCCTCAAGTGAGACCCTTCGAACCTGAAGATGACGGCATTGAAGACGACCCTAAAGTCATTCTTGAATCCAAAGATCTTTGGGAAAAATTTCATGCATTGGGCACTGAAATGGTTATCACTAAATCTGGAAGACGGTATGTTTGCTCTTAGCTATTGCCTGTTTCTTATGTTGCACTGTATAGTCACAGTGATTGCCATTATAAGCCAACTTAAGTGAGACAGACTATAATGCCTGTCCATAGTATGTATGTGTATTTCATGTAAATTAAGGGATCGCTATAACAGTGCTATTAAGTTCACAGACTTAAGAGACAGGTCCTCATAGTAGTCCTTATAGTAGACCTCATAGTCGTCGTCATAGTCTTTATAAAGTATGCGATATTAAGGCAAAGCATAGACTTCTTATTCTGACGAACTATGCTTTGATGGGAAAGACAGACGATTTGTGAGGTTATAGCGGCTCAGGGCTTGTGAGGAGACAAATGTAGCATTAGGTGACACCATTTTAGGCAGAGTATACAATCCTCCTATTGTTCTCAGTGTTGGAGTCTTCACATTAAGCGTTTAAAGTTGGAGACACTCATCACATCAAATATGACTGTCTGTCGCCCGTTTGACTTAAACCAATACTACCCAATACAGCCCAATAGCCCCAACATTAGTAAACCACTACTTCCCTTACCAGTCGGTCTCTCTTTCAATTTGACCGCAATTTCTCTCTTAAATTGTTCGCTTAAATTGTCTTCAAATCATAAATGAGATGCATTTCACTCATTCAATAACGATATGAGTCTTGTATTTGAATATATAGTCGATATCGAGACTCAATTCAATGACTAACACAACAATTGTGTTAACAAACACTCTCTACAAACCATATATTGCTTTGTGTTTACCATTTGGTCCTCTCATTCAAAGTAAGACACATTTAAATGCAGTCATCGATGAGATAGTCTTAATGTTTGAATCACTAATAAGTGAAGCGCTGTTTCCCTTTAAGCCATACGATATGATATACGGCTTAACTAATGACCCGACGTATGGCTATACTTGTCTACCAACTGACAGTCCATGAGTACCACTAAAGTGTGTACACAAACATTCAAACTTCAAGTGTAGACCACTCTTGGACTAAAATTCTTCAATAATGAAAAAACTGTTTTGTAGATAATGTTAGAGTTTGTTTAACAAATTATTTTTCGTCCCATTTATATATATACATACAAATTGTATATATTTATATATACATACAAATTGTATATATTTATATATACATAAAAAGTATTAAGAAAGCAAATTAGAGCCACTCTTACAAAGTGCAATACAAGTGGTGCTAAAAATAAATATTTATTTCGTTTTGAAATACAACTTATTATTTACTGGTGAAAAGGCAGCGGTTTTTAATAATAATCATAATAAAAGTATTAAAGTTGTAAAATGATTGCTAGACTATGTTATGTATGTTTTAAAGTGTTAGCAAACATTAATAGCAAAAAAAGTAGAAACCACTGCACTATCTTAATATCAAAAGCAACTTTAATAAGACATGTTTTCTAACTATAGTCTTATATATAAATAAATATAAATATATATCTCTAATGACTTTACTGCTACTGTGATAATGGATAAAAATACATAGATTTATGTGAAGTAGTCACTAGTTAACGATAGATAGCTAGCAATTCTCAAATATTATATGACTGGTGTGTGTGTATGTATTTTTCAAACCTTGGGGTCATTTTTCTCGCATCACTCACCACTACCTCCTAATCAAAATAAATACATTTTCAAAAAAATTATACTCAATATATCATAACATATCATAACATCAAAAGTATGTGTTAATAATATTTGGTAATTTTTTTTCTATCGTAAAATAATTATTATTTGAGATATAAATTTATATCGTAAATGTTGTACTTAAACATAAAATATTAGGAAAATTTATGTATTGTTTGATTAATAAATTATCACAGATTGCTTAATGATTGGTTTGAATATCAATTAAAGTTGTTTTAACACAAGTTGTTGTTTAGGGTTTGTGATGGTTTTGCTGGTGGGCAGTGATGCCAATGATTGCAGTGATTGTAGTAAATATAGTGATTTCAGTGTTTGTTAGTTGATTTCAGTGATGATTACCACCAGAATGTGTGGAGGCGTGCATTCATTTCCATACTATTCTTCACATTGTCTTATAGTGAGTGAACCAAATAAAGACCACTTCATTCAGCACTGGCTTCATATGTATTTTGAGCCTTAAATTCCTATCTAACCTCATGGGCTGGCAATTGAAACGCTAGTCTGGAGTCTAACATAATTATATTATATAAATCTTTTTCTAAACATATCTAAAATTGAAAATTATAGTCCAGGCCTTCTAGCAATACAATGTTTGGCTTCATTCACTAAATTATACTACAATTTTCAATATATTTAAATTGTTTGCTTTACTCCAATTTGCTAATGTTTACAACAAATCACTTATTTATTTATTTTTTATTAAAAAAAACTTTGATGAAACCAAACGTACGCTACAAATGTTATCAATATTGTTGGCTTTGAGTTGATTATTATCATTCAATTGATGGTTTTGATGGCCAACCAATGTCTTTGACAATTGCCTCAGACTATGCGCTAATATGTTGTGTACTTATATTTTATTCATTCGTCTAACTAATGATAGTTTGAAATTTATTTTTGTTTTGTCACAACTTGTGTGTTAGCAATGAGTGCCAGTATGCCTGTGCTCTCACTTAAACCACTTTTTTTTATAGCTCTCTCATATTGTTTGTAATGTTTTGCTACCCCTCTATTGCGCGTCACTTGCATACTAAATATTTGCAACTATCTCTACCATTACCATACAAACATATATATTATACAATAGATATATGTACATAAATATATATATAGTATATGATGTCTATGTACAGTATATGTTCAATAGTGAATTAGTGATCTGGTAGAGAGCATCGTCAGTTGTGGTGATGTTGAGTGTTCATAAAAGAGAGCATCCAATGAAGTGATCCTATAGCAGACCTATATATTAGTTATGACTCGTGACGGGCACCCGAAATGTGTAACTTTGGACGCCTTGACCGAGTCTGACCATTACAATTGACTAACACAAAAACAATAGTGGCATCACTTGGCATCAGATGATCAAAACGAGATCTATAGAGAATAGCCTACAGTTACTTATAGCCAAACCTATCATTTTTCTCAACCAAGCCCTTCAATTTCCTTGACTATGCACTGACTCGTTGTACAAATAGCCCGGAGCCAGAGTCACTTAATAGGGCTATGACTACAACTGAGTTTTTACTTGAAAATAAACTTCATATGAATACTCTATGAGTACGAGACAGCGTTTATTGTTTAGACTCCAACTTCTTGTTGTCTCAACAGTGCCAATGTTGTGGTAACTTTCAATCAAGAGTCTCAAACTGTTCATTCATATCGCTATTTACAAGTGACTGGTAGTACCCAATGTTGTCATTGTATATAATGTTATCAATAAAATTATATTATATATGAGATATAACATTGATATTAGTCAATAGCACAATATGTTTGTTATATAAATTCTGTACCATTTTATATAATGAGAGAACGCCTCTAATTCATAGTAAATTCATTCATTCATTCATTTCATTCATAGATTCATTCATTTGTTTATGTGTTTACACGTTGTTGTTATTTATTATGTGTTTCACGTCATATATATTTTACATATTTAGCGCATATCAGCACACAGTTATGATAAACCATATATTATTATTACAATCATAGAAATGTATTACTGTTGTATAACATATATTCATATAAATATAATATTCAAATATTCTCTATAAACATGACTTGTGTTTTACACATAAATACATTTACACTGTTAACCAAATTTTTCTTTCTCTCTCTTTCTATCTTTTTGTTGTTTCACATTTAACACGTTGTGATGGGTTAGGGAAAGGGTCGTACGGATAATGGCATTTCATTGACACTGCACGTGCCTATGAGTGAGTGACTCTCATTGCCACCGGAGTGACAAATAGCTGTTCCTTCGGTGAGTCCCCTCATCTCTGTTGGTGTCATACAGTGTTGACAATGCGTGCCAACGGCGGCCAACCCAATGTCCGACAAACAGTCTAACGGTCTAAATGTTAACAATTGCTTCTCTATGTCAGTCAGTGCTGACTAACTGATAGACTAATCGACTCTTTTCTGTCAATTCTTTATTGAATTGAATTCTTAATGTTATTACTGAAGTGATCGCATGTTTACATTCATTGCTCACAAGTTTATTGTGAATCTCTTATTAGTATTTGTATGTAATGTCTAAAGTGTTGATAACACGCACATCACTCCTAACATGACTACAATTGTCTATAGTTTATAACTTTTTGTATAATTGTCTGGTCTGTCATACAGAAAGTGTTTTTAGTCGAGCATCGAGTAGAGCACCGAAACATCAAATTTATATATAATTTATATTAGTGTATATCTGGTGTCTCATAATTTGCATGTTGTCTCACATATTGCGTGATATTTGCTATATATGACAACTATATACATATATACCATTAAAATAAAGACAAAATATATATACATTATACAGTACTTTAATGGACTCATGATTGCAGTCATACTTTCAAAACGTGTGCCAATTTTGTGCCACTTTTTATTTTCACATAACGTATAATAAAAAGCTAACAATAAAAATATAGGGAATAAAATCTTTTAGCAAATGATATGATATATTGAAAAATTGATGAAAAGTTTTTACATGAGATGTCAAAATGTGTGAGACAGACATTATTACAGTTATTTATATATTGATGATATGATTGTATGATTAACTAAATGCTAGTTTCTATGAGGCATATCATGTCTTGAGTGTGGTTTGAGAGTTGAGACTGAATTGAACACCAATTGAGACCTTTTTGACAAAACATACTTTACTAGCATTGCTATCATTATAGTGATGGCTTTAATACATGGTTTGCCAAAACACTGTAATTTTGTGTTGTGAACCATATTTGATGGTTGACTTGAGTGATGCAAAAGCAATACCTAACCACTAGTGATAGATATATGCACTTGTGATACATTGTTCACCAATTGTAGGGTCCATAAC